GAAAAAAAAAATTAACATTAAATATTTTTTAAAATATTATTTTCAATAATTTTGTCTAATACTATAAATTCTTATTACCTCGTTTCTGTCGATGTTTGTTTTGCTACTAATTTTTCTCGCCACTAATAATTTAAACGAAAAATAATTTTTTAAACGAATTTATACTTTAGAAGCTGTATAAAAGTCACGCGTTTTCATTTCATTGTGAAATATGTACTGATATGTACTGATCACTTGACCACTGATCATAAACTCCAAACGTCGGGAGGGTGTATATGCATGTATGTATACGCGTATGCATTACTTGTATATGTACTCAATAAGTATGTATCTTATTTACACTTGTCATATGACATAAATGTGTATGTTGCAATAACGAAGTGTATTACATACTAACAGCTGATAGTATATCCAACTCATATATTCAATTCAAGTAATCAATACATATTGTTCAAGAAGTAGATGCTTGTATATGTGGGTACAAATAGTAATCCGAATTTATGGTTATGTAGTCAAATTCCATTTTAACTTTATTTTTCTTTGATGTTTAACGTTTCATCGACCTTCAGGTCATTAGCGACGGCTTGGTGCTCTTTTCTTCTTTCCTGCTGGTTATATTTTTAGGTAAATGTTGATTTTTTTTAGGTAGTTCAAGGTACATACATATTTTCTACGTGTTTCTGTAATACCAGGGCTGCAGGCTATGTTATTTTGTATTTTTTTTTCTAATTAGTAAAGTAAATAAAAAATCTGATTGCTTCTTTTTGACAAATGTTTCGTATATATCACTAATATATAATTCTTGTTATACAAAAAGTACATTAAAATATGTATATATTTGAATGTTTTTAGTACTACATATATAATAATTCAACATCTTCTTTCTTTTTCCTCTTACAAATACCTTTCACCCTCCATTTTGCTGCCTATGCTAAAATATCCTCTGCTATCTATTTACCCCTCAATCTTTTTTCAACCCTGGTATTCCTCTCCTTTTTACCATTTGGTATCAGTTATGTACATGTTTACATATGTACGTTTTACTTTTTCATTTCTTAATTTATATATATATATATATATATATATATATGTAGTATACATACATATAGTATATATATATAAACTGCAATAAGTAAAAAGATGGAAAATTACTCTCTCTCTCTCTCTCTCTCTCTCTCTCTCTCTCTCTCTAAGTATATGTATATATGAATTTTTATAGAGATACATAAGCAAACATGGTATAGAGATTATATTGTTCATATCTTTATTAAATTAAATGCACATCTATTGTCACTATAGCAATAAAATCATATAGAAACATCACTACTTTGCGCGCAATATCGTACTTCTTTTATCACTCCCATTTGTTTCTTCACTTTGAAGTTTCTATAGTCTTATCGAGAGACGATTTTTCCAATAACATAGTATTTGTTAAAAATGTGAATCAAGCTGCTTCGTCGTTACTTTCACTGTGCATTCGCGTATGTTGGTAATTACGTTTCGTACCATATCCACCGGAGTGTTGAGTTTCATACATTTTTCGATTTTCCAGGTAACGTCGATAATTATTTTCCCGTTTTCGTCGCTGCTCTTCTGCTTGTTGTCTCAATTTTTCTGGATTCATGTGTGTGGTCACCATATGTCTCGTCAATGAGCTCATAAATTTATATGTGATGCCGCACACATCACAAGAGAGTATCTCCTCGTTTGCTCCTTGCTGCAGTTAATAATTACAAGAATATGTATTAGCATTATACTTGCGTACATAGAAAAATGTATTTGAAAATGAACAACGAGTTTCAGTAGCTTTAAAGTGATGGGTACAAATTGCAGAAAATATGAGAAACAGTAAAATCTATAGAATTTCTCTCTTACACTGAGACACGAAGAATCTAATGACTAAGGTCGTATTGATCATACGTACTTGTTGATGTACCATCATATGTCTCTGCAAATTGTTCAATCGGCTGAACTCTCGGCCACAAACCTCACAGTCAAATTTCTTATCCGGATCATGATACTTTTTATGGAGACTCAGATCAGTTGCATGCGAGAATGACTTATGGCATACGTCGCATGTATGGGTCCACTGATCGGCGGCCAAATGTGACTGCTCGTGTTTAACCAGACTAGCTTTCTCCATGAAACGACGACCACAGTAAATGCACGGAAGTGGTCGTGACTGTGAATTATGCAGTGTCAAATGACGACGTAGAGCAGTCGATGTCGGAAAATTTTTATGACACTCGAGACATTGAAACGGTCGGTCACCTGTATGAGTCTTCCTATGACGGGCTAATGAATGTTGATCCGGATACCTGTATACAAAAGTCAACTAATTTTTCTCTGAACTACTCTAAATGAACATCCTGTATACAATTTATAAAAAAAATCACCTCTTAGGGCAAAGATCGCACGGAAAGTTTCTTGTGGTAATATCTTCCTCGCGAGCGTGTTTTAATCTATTATGCCGAAGTAATTGGAAAGATGTTTTGAAAGTTTTATTACAGATATCACATTTCAAATTATCTGGTGTAGGTATAATGACTTGTGTCCTTTTCTGACCATGTTCATCTTCAGATATTATTAAGGATATCGTCACCGTATTATCCTCATTATCGAGATCAGCTGCAGAAATTACAGAACTCTGAAAATAGAAATGATACACATGAAAATAAAAAAATTTTTCTATATCGATAAAGAATATAATGTAAAAACGAATGACAATTACCTGTTTGTTACTGTGAGTAGATTTAAGTTCAGTATCTGGGGTAGAATAGGTTTCCTCTTCCATTGGACTGGCACTTTGCTGAGATTTGGCTTGAATTTCTTTGTTTTCATGATCATCATTAGTTTCTGCAATAGCATAATGTCCATCTTCAGTTAAATATACTGGTTGCAACACTCCAGCATCATCCTTGAAATATAATTGACCATCCTCGTCTTCATGTAAAAATATTTGCTCCTGAGAATTAATTAAAAGATTGATTGTGATACAATAGTATGGAGAATATGAATTTTGCATTTAAAAAAATATTACTTGAGAATCATCCTTCTCTTGAGGTTGACTGGTGTCCATGTTAGACGTTTCCCACACTTGCTCATCTTGTTCCACAGGCACAGCATCATATGCATACTGTTCATTATCATCCACAGCCTGAGCAACATACAAAGTCTCTATATTATCTCCTTCATAATAAATTGTTCCTTCAACTGGTATAGTATTCTCGTCAAGTTGCTCCATCTGAAAGCAAGAATCTTATCATTATATATAGTAGTTACTATGTATAATTCTTAATATCTGGAAATCTAGGTACCCAATATTTGTACCAAGAAGATGCTTACCTTAATATAATGAGTATCAGACAGTTTATCTGTGTGTAATGTTTTTACAGAGGGTTGTTTTTTTGTACCAAGGACAGTATACAATAAATTATTTTCAACATTCTTTACGATTTCATGATTTGTGCTAGTATCAACGGTCTCTTCACTATTTACATTAGTTTTGTAATCTTGAGCTAATTTGGACTTTTCTGTCCTATCTATAGAGTCCATACTATCTCTAGATTCCGATCTACTCGTTTGTAAAGGAAAATTAATTGTTTGATTATTTACAGATTTTCTTTCTCCATGTAGGGTTTTTTGTTCTTGTAATGATTCTGTGCAATGACTCAATGAATCCGAGTTTTGTTCATATTCTTCTTCCTCTTCTATATCTTCATCCTGCCAATCTTCATCTACATCATACGTTATTACTTGTTTATTATTACATTTCTGTGATTGTTCTTTTTTCCCACTTTCTTTTATATTATGCAATTTTTCAACTGGATCACTTTCTTCATATGCATACACTTCCATTTCTGAAGTATCATCGTATTGGTCATTTTGCAGTTTTTCTGCACTTTTTTGACTTTCTTCTTCGTTTAATTTTTTCTCTTCCATAAAAGAACCATCTTGCGATGACTCTTCCTCTTCCACTTCCTCTATTATTTCTATAATTTCTTCTATTTCCGTTTCTACAGAATCCTCTGTAGCCTCTGATTGTACTACAATATCTTCTTCCGAAATGGCTTGCTTCAATACTTCCATCATATTCTTATCATTGCTGGCATCTATTGCATCCAATATTTCATGGGACATTTCCATAGTAATCTCAGAATTAACAACTGAGAAGTATCTATTGAAAAGATAAAATGCACCTTATTAAGTTATATTGTACCGCTTACTTAAAATTTATTATAATTTTTAAAAATTTAAGTGCAATTAGTGTTAGGATAAGGAACTATTCTTTGTGCAAATATTAAAGAATAATAATAAAATAATATAATTAATGATAGTCACTACTTTTTCTATATAAAAAATATTTACCTTTCACATTCACAATAATTTAGATATTAAAACCACATTCTCTAAATGGTAGAATGTACCTTTGTAAGGAGTATATAACAATACTACCTAGTGCTAGGTAATACATTCACTAGTGAAGTATATTTCCTTTCTGCTCATTCATTTCAACATGTATAAAAAGTCTGCTCACATATGCATCAATAGTAATAAAGTATTTTAATAAACCTACAACCAAAATAAAACAGGATTAATATAACGTTAAGCGAAAAAACGAGAAGCGCGGTGTTCGTTCTGCAAGTTGATCCGCTTCTTTTTAAATTGATTTATAGTAACGTTTGAGGGTTCTGCACCAAGCGTGACTCACAAACGTATTCTTTCTAGGTAAAATATTTGTTGGATCCATGTAGTCACTTTGTATGAACGATTCGAATTTGAAGAAAGATCTTTTGGAAGGCTCGCAGCAGGTATTTGTATTTTATATGTGACAAGAGTACGCGGTTCACCAGTCGGTACGAAAATGTCTTGCATTTATCAACGGACAGCAAAATGGCTACAAAACGGCAACGATTATCTCCTTGAAAAGGTACACGCTAACGTGCGAAAACTCGGAATACTTTGGCCAATGAACGAACAGATAGGTGCATGATTTTATTCACTGTACCTGTCTTGAATTGTTGAAATGTGTAAGCGGCGATGGAAAAAATTGTTTTACTCGGTCGATACGCGCCAATATAATATCTGTCTCTATATGTACTTCCCCCAGTAAGCAAGTGACGCCACCTTAAGCATCGCACAGCTGCATCTTTATCGTCACTAAATTAGGTTGCGACGACTGCATTCGTAAATGGAACGGTTCGAAGCCATGACATGATGTGTACCTTCATACAATGTATCTACACTTTGATTGGTCGAACAGTTGAAAGGCTCTACATATCCATGTACTGATCCAAATACGTTAACAATATAAAAATTTTGAAGCTTTGTTACAACAACAAATCGTACATTGTGCAATAAATAGTGAAGGCACGTCATATCTTGTTACAGATTAACTAAGTGTTTATGTTTAAACGTTCAACATATGTACTTATGAATTCTTTTGGGAGAAATTTTGAAGTTAATATATTATTTTATTGTTTATTTATTCGCATAGCTTCATTTATATTCGAAAATATTAAAAATGCAAATATAACTTTTATTATAGAATAACATTTTATTTTCATTTATAAAGTAACCTTATGTTCCGAAATGAGACGTAACATATGTTGTACAGAAATTATGGATGAAATTAACGAATTATTTATTAAACCTACCATTAATTCATCATGTTTCCCAATGTATTTAATTAGTATTTATTTGCGTTTTCAACCAAATTTGTAGCATTACATGTTGCATTCGGTATTTTGCAACAACTTGTATATAATCAATCTTTGATGATGAAAATGTATGTTCTAATAGTATTCATAAAATAAATAATAAAATTCAACCCGTTATGTTAATTAAGTTTCATTCACATATTTGAGAATTTATTGAATAGTATTTATATTGAGAATTAGCGAGTAGAGAAATCATATTTTTACACGATTTGCAAAGTGTCATAAAAACGTCAACCATTGTGTAAGTGGGATAGGAAACGCAAAACAAAGCACGTACATATACGTACATAGCAATTCTATACATAGTGCAATTCTTAAGTTTAACAAATCTTGAATACCGTAACCACCGTTGCACAAGAGTGCTGTATTTATTAAAACATATCATTGTAGAGGTTACTATTTATTTGCATTATTAAAAATGTGGATTTATATCTTACTTGTTATTTTCTCTACGTTCGATTTTGCGGCGGCATCATCCGGTTTTGATTTCGGCGATGCCTTAGCTTTAATTCTCGGATTAATTATCGGTATTATTGGATTCTTTGCTTGCATGGGTGCCCATGCAAGACGACGAAATAATTTACAACGAATATGATTGCAAACCACTCCGGAATTTGTCCCATAGTAAGTATATTATTTACTAATTAATTGATAATTTTTATAGGATCAGAATTTTATACATAGTTTAACAAATTTCGTTGTACATGAAGATATCTCGCTTTTCGTGTTACAATAATTGCAAAAATATGTATTTTCTTATAATACTATAAATATTTTTATACATCACTAAATATTTTTGATTTTAAAAATTAATTAACAAAAAAGAATTGAAATGATTTTAAGTACGTTTTTAGTAACTTGTTTTATTCAACTTGCAGGGTATCTGAGGAATATAAAATTAAGGAAGAAAATGCTTCAATTTAAACTTTTTGAATATTAATCGTACAATATTTTTATACGTTCGTTAGCGAAATAACAAGTATCAATATCATGATTATTTTTATAAACTTAAAGTATATTATTAAGAAGTGATTAATTATTTGTAATAGTAATATTGTAAGGCAATATTCATAACATAATGTAATTGTTAAATAAAATATAAAAATAGTTAATAAAAGAAATTAGAAGAAGAAGAA